ATCTGTTGCATGAATAGATCATAGTTCTATGGATTGGAAGCTGTTGTGACAATCTGGTCACGTTTTAAATTCTCAAAGATATTTTTTATACAATTCACCAAATCAGACTCAATATAAATGGGGGATTTATACATCACACTAATCTCAAAACAAACAAATCACAGTATAGTTTAGTGCTATGTGCAAGTCATTGCAATTAGTAAATCATCATACATGGTTTAGCGCTATATATTAACCTGAATGGCTTGTTTAAAACCTAACCTTTAATAACACTAAGCCTGCACTGATTTGTCTTAAGAATACTGTACCAGGGCAGATCACAATCCAATGACAATTAAATGGAAAGGACAAAGAAGAAGATCCAGATGGACGTTAAATAATACTATATTAAAGGAAAAAGACTTCACAAGTGGATGGAGAAAGAACTGGCTTTCTTCTTCAGAGAAAACAAAAAAGAAGATACATCAATGCAGAACGTATGGGATACAATGAAGGCATATGCCAGAGGCTTGATAGTAAACTATACAAGGAAAAGAAATACCATGAAAAGACTAGCCCCTAAGGCTTAAGAGGATGAGTATAAAGGACTTGAAAAAGAGCTGCAGAAAATGCCACAGAAAAAGGACACTAAGTTAAAAATGGATATAATTAAACATAAAATGAGTCTAATAGAAAAAGAAGAACTAGCGTAGAAAATCAGAGGTGCGAAACAGAACTACTTTGAAGATGCAAATAAACCAGGTAGATGGTTAGCATATAAATTGAGAAAGGAGAAAGAATCAAGGAAAATATTGCAATTAATAGATGACCATGGCCAAGTTTGCTATGGTAGTAAAGAGAATTATGGGAAACTGTACACACAAGAGAATATTGATGAGGAAAGAGTTAAACAGTACTTACAGAATGCTAATCTACCCCAGATACCTAAAGAGATTGAAACAATGTTACAAAACAATATAACAATGATGGAGTTAACTGAAGCACTCAAGAAGCAAAATAATGGAAAGGCACCAGGCCCAGATGGACTTCCGGCAGAATGTTATAAAACACTACAAGAATTGCTGAACCTTCCATTGCTAGAAGTTATGAATGAAGTTATGTTAAAGAAGAAGATACCCAAATCATGGTCAGTAGCTTATATTAGACTTGTCCCAAAAGAGGAGGTTGATCCATTACAAATCAAGAACTATAGACCTATTTCCTTACTAAACGCAGATTATAAAATTTTTACTTCAATATTGGCAGAAAGACTTAAAAGATACTTAAACAATTTTATCCATCCTGATCAAAATTGATTTCTGCCAAAAAGACGAATTAAAGACAATATGAGAGTAATCTTGGACACTTTGGAATATTACGAGGCACATCCTGAAAAACAAATGGCTTTGATATTTCTAGATGCACAGAAGGCATTTGATAATGTGAATTGGTGATTCATGTTATTACAGCTGGAACAGATGGGCTTTGGTAAAAAATTTATCGAAGCAATAGAAGCTATATATCATAATCAAATGGCAAAGGTAATGATAGAGGGAGAACTGACAGACTTTATTGATCTAAGAAAAGGAACAAGACAAGGGTGCCCACTGTCACCTCTGTTGTTTGTGTTAACCTTGGAAGTGCTAAACAGAAATATTAGAGAAGAAAAGAATATAAAAGGGATGAAAATTAAAAAGGAAGAATTTAAGTTGCAAGGATTCGCAGATGACCTGGTTTTCATTTTAGAAGACCCACTAGAAACAGCATCAAAATTGATAGAAAAGATAGAGGTATATGGAAAGGTGGCTGGTTTGAAAATAAATAAAGATAAGACAAAGATCTCGACAAAGAATATGCTATCAAGACAAAAGGAAGAACTGGCGGATCTATTGAAAATTCAGGTCATGAATAAGATCAAGTACTTGGGGATACATTTGACAGCAAGATGTAGTACACTAAAAGAGAATAATTATATCAAACTTAAGCAGCAGATAGCGCTAGATTTGGCAAAATGGGGAAATTTACAACTGTCATTAATTGGGAGAATATCAACAATCAAGATGAATATATTACCCAGAATTTTATATTTGTTCCAAACAATTCCAGTTAGACTTGGGAAAGATTATTTTGAAGATTTAAATAAAATTGTGTTGAAATATAAGGTAAGGCAAGGTAGGAAAGCGAGAATAAAGTTAAAACTTTTGCAAGATGCTAGAATTTGGTTTCCGTAATTGGGAGTTGTATTACCAAGCTGCAAATTTGATGTGGGTTAAGGAATGGATAACATTAAGAAATACTAGATTGTTGACATTAGAAGGACATGATCTGTTGTTGGGGTGGCATGCTTTTCTATGGTATAAAGGAACTAAAACACAGGGGTGTTTTAGAAGACATTATATACGGGAGTCTCTGTGGTTAAACTGGGAGAAGACTAAAAGACAAAGTTATTTGAAAATTCCAGTCTGGCTATCGACTATTGAAGTATTTTCTTATCCTATAATATATAAAAAGGAACAAACAGTTAGATATGGTGAAATATTGAATGAAAAGGGTGAACTTAAATCTATGCAAAAATTAGAGGAACAAGGTATAAGATGAATTGGTTTTCATATGTGCAAATACATTCAAGGTATGATAAAGATTCTAAAACAGAAGGTTTCTATGATAAACTGACTGATTTAGATAAGATTTTGACAGGTACTGATGAAAAGGTGATTAAAAAATTGTATGGATATTTATTAGAAATTAAACTAGAAAATGAACAAGTTAAAGAAACAATGATTGCTTGGGGGAAGAATTTTGGATATGGATTGATCTAGAAAAATGGCAAAAATTGTGGTCTCAAAATTATAAAATGACGATGTCAACAGCATATAAAGAAAATTTGTATAAGATGTTTTACAGGTGGCATTTCCCCTGACAAGAATAGCAAGAACCAGAAGAACAAATCTGAAAAATGTTGGAAATGTCATCAGACACCTGGCTCATATTACCATATGTGGTGGACTTGTGCGGATGCTAAAAAATATTGGACTAAAATCCACACGTGGTTGGAAAAAATGACAGAAAAGCATATAGACTTGAAACCAGAGATATTTTTATTGGGAATTTTACCTGAAATATATAGTAAAGAATTGAAATACCTGATTGTAAATGTATTAACAGTGGCTAGGATTGTATTTACCAAAAATTGGAAAAATGAGAAAATACCATTACAGGAGGAAATCATTAAGAAAATATTGGAATGTGCTGAAATGAGTAGATTGACATTTGGAATCAGAGAACAAGATGATAAACAATTTTATAAAATTTGGGATCTATTCTATCAATGGTTAGACAAAAAACATGGTAATGAAATATGTAGATTCTTAAAAAATAATAAATATATAAAGATGTATTCTTATATCTACAAAATGATTGTAGGATTTGAGATATGAACTGACATAAAACAAATTAAGTAAAATATGGATTATTTCATAAAACATGAATGAATAAAAGTATAGTCAAATGATTAACAATGATATTAATGTATTTAATATTTGATTGAAAATATGAGAATATATACAATGTAATTGTAATTGAAGACTACGAAATGGAAGCACAAAACAATTTGTAAACCAACCGACACACTGTATCTATCTATCTATCTATCTATCTATCTATCTATCTATCTATCTATCTATCTATCTATCTATCTATCTGGAAGATGGCTTGATGTTTTTGTTTTGTTTGTTTATGCTTGTCTTAAAAACCAATTAAAAAAAGAATAGTGTACCTAAATAACTAGGACAAAATGTCTTTGGCAAGTTTGTGCTTCCAACACACAAAGCTCGCCTTTACTTGCTGCAAAAATTTAACATAGCCACATGTCTGGATACCTTTAAAAAATTATGGGATCTATGGTCAAAATCTTACATGGAAAGACCTCAGATACTCATATTATTAAGAACAGAGCCAAGAATCAAATGCTTAAAGCCGGAGGCATCTCAACATTTTTCCCCTTCGCCAAACCGGGCATTGGAGTGGCCAGCATTGACACATCTGACCCGCAGACTGCGAATCTGACATCCCTGGTTTAAAGGATTATCCTGAAGGTGATAAGGATTAGATTCACTCCCACTTGTTCCAGAGATTTAGATTGTATATAGAAGAATATAAATTTAAATATAAATGTTGGCTTAACATAGGAGTAATAGCAACATAAGAACAAGTGTTTAAAAAACTTTGGAAAACTTGAGGCTTTTGCCCAGAATGCTATGTTTCAGTGAATCTAATATACAGTATATATGTGCTGAATTATGTGAAATATTAATGCAATATCAGGGGTTTTCAATTCAATGTATAGAATGTGAAGGATGTGTGTTTGTGTTTATTTTCATAGTCATAATATACACTGAAGATTGTATTTAATTTCGTTGTATGAGGTGCAATGACAATAAAGTTAAAACTATATTATTAGTGGGTAACTTGTGGTATCAGAATTACATCCTAGGAGCTTTGTAACTCTTAGAATGAGGTTTTCTATCATTGTGAGCCAGAAAATACAGGAGTATATATCTGCAATGAGTCCTTGGCCTCTTTTAAGTGTTAAAAGGCTATTTCAGCCATAGAAAATGCCTACTACCAGCATACAAGGTTAGATGTGTAGAGGAATTCAGAAAAAATCCTGCCTATCACATTAAATTGCTCCAATCCTCAAACAAATATATACATGTGTTATTTGTCTCTGGTTTGTGTCAAAGTAATCCTCAATTTATTACAATGCATCAGATCAGTCTAGTTTCTAAATATTAATTCCACATGGCAGAGCCATGTCCAGCCATGTACACTGGAGGGATCACTGCAGTCATTTTAAGAATTGTGATCCAGATTGGAAAGGTTTCTTCTAGGACACTGGATTTTCAACCTACTGCACCATGTATATTGTCAGAAAATGAATCAATATAGGGGAACTGAGATTATATTGGGTGGGGGGGGGGGAAGCTAAGCAGAGGTCACAAGCACCAGTATATTTGCTTATAGTTTAGTAAGGAAAAATACTGCACCAGTGAGCCAGAGGAGTTGTTCCTACGCATGGAAAGGGAAGCTTGATGGAACAGGTGGAGATCAGAGGCCCAAAACCACATCTGTGGTGCATACTGCTGCAATCTTCAGCCTATCTGCAGCAATAGGCTGTGATCCAGTTCCCCATGGCAACCTGCAGGGCCTGGGTTGTGATGCTAGTAACCATGGCAGCACTGTTACTTTTTTCCCAGATCCATCCTCCACCAGCCTCCCCCCCCCAAAGAAGTCCATAGCAGCTGAGAAATAATCAGCAGGAAACTTTAATTAACAAGTTGGTTTTGAAACAGACGTTGAGCAAGGGTCTTGTAAGAAGTGACGCTTCTGTTTATCTGATCAAAGCCAAGCATATGGCCACTTCTCTCTCTCCAAGCAAGCAAGGCCCAAGGAAAACAGGAAGGCAAAGGATTCCTCATGAAAGCTCAGAGGTCATAGAATGCAAATGAAGCAAATTCGAGGGGATATAATTGAAAATCACAAGGCCAAAGCAGTAAGGTTCTTAGGAAGCAAAAAGGAACAAGCCCAGAAAAATCAAAGTATATCAAATCAACTACAATAGCATTTAAGAATAATGTTATCAAGGAGGAGCTTTCCTAAGTTGAGGTGAAGATGGTTACAGCGCCCATGTCCGAGGAACTGAGCTGGATCATCACAAGAGTCTACTGAGGAGGTCATAATTTAATGCTCACATCAAAAAGTTCAAGAAGTTCAAAGGGAATTCAGAATTCAGAGCATTGTGAGGGTCAGCAACAGTTCAGGTGTTTCACTGGGTGTTCAGCTGGTTTCCTCAGAGTCTAGGACTTTGACATGGGTGAAAGGGAAGTGTCCACGGCGCCCGTTCAGCTCTCCCTCCCATTGGCCGTTGACATTCATCTTGGTGACTGCAATGAGATCACCCACCTGTGGAACATCACAAGACACAAAGCCACGATCAGAAGACTGCCCACCTTTCTGTACTATCTCAGTATCTCAACCTTTCCTACCTTCTGTGCTAGAATTATAACTCCTATAACATACAGCCAAACAACTTTCACAACTATTGGGTATCAAGCTGGTGAAAAATGACCTAACACCTGACAGATGAAACTTTTTACCTTCCTTTAAGGTCATCTCTAATGAGGAATAAGTTCCATGCCAGCACATTTCCAAGTTGCAAAAGTACTGGCATGAAGGAACCGGATTGCTAGGAATGCCAGAATCCAATCATGTTTAGTTTATTATGATTTTTAAGTTCTCTCCCCTGTACATACCTCAGTTCTAGGAAATAGTTTGATAGTTGCAATGGGCTTCTTAAGAGCATGGACAGAAGTCTGTAGCCTGGATTCTTTCACCAACAAAGTTGTTCTACTCAACATTCTGCTGAAAAATCCTATCAGCATAATTTGCATTTTCCCCCCGACATAATTTTTAAAGGTAAAGGGAAGGCAGGCCATAATTCCATGCCTCCTGGCAACAAAAGAAGTGTTGCTCAAGATTCATCATTAATTTACATCATCACCACTATCAGTCATAAATCCCCATTCACATAATAATCAGATATTCATCCCACTACCCTCCATGATCAAGATCATCCTGACCCTTTTTAAAGACATTTTTACTGTTTTGGTGACTTGCCTCAAAAGCCAGTGCTGTCTTATCACTGGCACCAGGCACCCTTCGTTGCACTGCCCTGGCTATTACAGGAGCGTGTCGGGGGGCGCCATGACTGCTGGGATGAGCATATGGACAAGGCTGGACATATGGCACAGGTATCATACCCACACGCCCATCGGCACGTTGAGCTGTCCACCATTGCTCTTCTGGCTTGGCCAAAACTCGCAAAGGCTCCCCTTTGGTGAAGGGAAGGTCTTCTTGGTCACGGCCGACAAAGTCATAGAGGGCACGGACCCACTCGCCAGCAGGAGGTGGCTGGGCAGAGAAAGGGGCTACAACGCGTCCCAGGGGGGCTACCAGGGTGGTAGTATCCAGGTAGTGCAGGCGGTAGAAGTCTAAAAGAGCTGGAAAACCATCAAATTCATGCTCCCCAATCCGTAAACGGCCAGGGAGGCTGTTTATGATGTAGTGTGAAACCTGAAAGAGACAGAATGGCAAAGAAACATAAACCTGCTAACCCAAACCTTCATCACATTCATATGAGAGAACACTCAATCTTTACCAACTAGGATGCATCCCTCTAGCTATGCGAACTTCAAATCCCAGAATGCTTTAGTGCCAAGTATTCTGGACACCAAAATTCAAGTGTTGATTTAAAGTCATTCTTCTAAATGTATCAGGAACTCCCTGTTAACTCTCCAAAAGAGTCCCTATGTTTCTTTTCCCCCACCAGGTATTAAGATTATACAAAAAAATCACCTTGGAGTTTTCACTGACAGAGAGGACATAGTCACCAGGGCATGTAGTACTGTCCCGTACCAGAAAGGTCCCATGGCGATGTCCCTGGAGACATGCAGCTGCTTCCTGACGACTTAGAGCCCCCATATACCATTCATGAGCATCCCCAAAAGCAGACATGGCTTGTGGGAACATTGAAGGTGGAAACACACCACTCTCTTTGTTGAATGTTATTCCTAAAAAAACCTGATAAGTTTTGCTCCAGTATTTAACAACACTTTATAGAAGAAAGTTACCCTGTTGAATGTTTGCATTGAATATTGCTCCTTTCAGTAGTTTAGGCGGACCTTTAAAAAAAATCAGACATGTAATCCTGAAGGGAACAGGTTTTCTTATATGGTTCTACCCCAAAATCTTTCAGCCTAAGGTCTACTGTTCAAACTTGGTATCTCCTAAGAGTATCCACAGCTATTTTCCCAGACACTTCCACACCACAGCAATATTTTCCCAGAACAAGAAAAGTAGTATCTCAGGAATGCAAATAAAGTTTCTGCAATCAAATTATCATTAATGGGAAGCAATGATTAAGTCTTTCATATGTTTCCCAGTTTGAATATAATGGAATAAGAGGGATACACTTTCAACAATAATAAACCGCTTTATGCTTACAATCAAAGAATTAAACAGCTAACTCAAAGGTAGCTTCCATCGAAAAACATCAACATACAATACAATCATATGATTAATATATTTACATAGGAATCAATATAGTGTCTTTTAATATCCAGATAAAATTAAGAGAATAGGTTGAGTAAACTACAAAATCTCCACTCCATTTAAATTAACAGGAAGCATCATATGAGACATCAGCAACGCAAATATATATATATAAATAACACAGTGCTCTCATTCTAAAGTCAAATTTGAAAAGCCCTAATTTTTCACAGCCAAAGCTGCCATGGTTCACAGAGGCACCTAAACAGAGAGGATTATCTTCCACTGAATCACAAGCCCATCTTAAGGAAGAATATCTATGCCCTTGTAACCTTTTTAACCCACAAAAGCCTTGAAGTATCGCCACAGATCGACTCTGCCCTGCATCCTTCTATTACTAGGTCGTCCTCTGGAGAAAACCACCGCACCCCAATTAACAGCTGCTACTTCTCAGCTAATTAAAACTATTTCCCCAAGGCCTCTTGGCACATCAGAGATTGACCCGCCTTCTCTCCCCCCCGCCCCAAAAAAGCCCCACTGCAGCAGAGGAAAAAGCAGCTCTCGCCCCCGAGTTGCCCCCCCTCCCTAAATGGGGAACATCCCACATGATGCCATCTAGCTCTGCCTACAAAGCCGGCCGCGCTACCCTTCCACCCGCAACTCCGCCAGGCAAAGAGACCCGGAAACCCCCATTTTATCTCCTCCCGCCCGGCGATTTATCTACCGCGGCATCGCAGCCCCGTAACTCCCCGATGCAACCGGACAGCGCCTCTTTCGCCCAGGACATCCTCCGAATCAGCGGAGCGTCCAGCCGAGGCTCCCCCGCCGGGAGGCCACAATAAAGCCTCGGCTGCACATGTCACCTCGCTTTCCCTGCAGTCCTGCCCGGGGACGCGGCAGGGCTCGCCCGCGGCACTCCCGTTCAACAACCCACGCCTTCCCTGGATGCCCTCCACGGCCTGGCGCCCATCGCCCCGGCCCTGCCCTCGGAAAGCCTGGGAGTCCTGGAGGGGAGGCGACCCGCCCCTGCCCGAAACCGCTGCCCGCAATCCGGATTGCAGCTGCCGAAGGGCTGATGGGAAAGTGACGCACCCACCCTCCGCCCCCTCCCCTGTTTAAGAGGGGGTGGGGCAGCCATCTTGAGGGTTGGCAAAAGGGGTCTAGGGGAAGGGGCTGCCACCATCTTCACTGTGGGAATGGGCTTCCACGCCAAGGTGGAGGATGCGGTTGAGCTGAGTGGGGTGGAATTTGTGGCTGTAAAGATGGACGGATGGGGATTTATTTATTTATTTATTTATTTGGCGTATGCTGTAGAGTAGATGGCTAACAGTATTAAAAGTATAGAAATATTTTTATATTTTTGTAAAATATTTTTATATCTTATAAAAATATTTTAAAGGAGCATATATGTGTGCTACACATATGATGGAAATATGTTGTCAATTTTGTACAGTATGAGGAATTCAAGAAGTTATAAGATGGGTTATATTTTATAACTTGTGTTATTGATTTTTATATTTGTACCATAAATTTTAAATATAAAAATCAATAACGCCCATCCTGGCTCCGCAAAGGCAAAAAACATTGTGATACGCCACACGATAGGTCATGTGACATGATCAAGTTCAACACCATGTACTAAATTATTGGAAACTTTCACAGATAAATGAAAATAGGGTTTTTTTTAAAAAAAACCTAAATATTAACATATCACTCTACTTGGCATGGGTTTGCTGACCAAAATCCAGTATTTAAGATCAATTATTGTCCAGTCCTGTGTGCAGGATGGGTCAGCAAAGTGAAAATAGTGACTGTGATCCCACACAGTCTTCCCCCTTTTAGCACCAAATATTTTAAAAGAGGGAGGCTGGGATTGTGGTGGGATCACCTCCCAGGGATGGGATTCTACCAGTTCTGTCCGGCTCTGTAGAACCGGTAGCTCTGAAGAGCAGCAGACATAGAACCAGTTCTATGTCTGCTGCTGCTACAGCCTACCTGCCCACCTGGGCTCTTACCTGACCTTTATTTCTTGCTTTTTCAACCTCAGCTGCCATGCGAGGCACAGCTACGGTTGAAAAAGCAAGAAAAAAGTGCTTTGTCACATGCTGCTTCCCTGCACGCAGTGCTGCTCAGCTGTCCAGGCAGCAAGCTGACGAAGATTTACACATGCACAGCATGCAGGGAAACACATTGTAAATCACCAAACCGGTAGTTAACCCTGTTGGATCCCACCCCTGTCACCATCTTGACTTTTTTGACTGCTCCTGATGATTATTATGGCTGACTCAGGGAGAAAGATATAAAGAAGTTCTTTAGGTACTTCTAGTGCTCCTTGGTATTGGTACTTATCCAGAGGTCCAAGAACATCAGTAGATAATTCATTTTCAGATGGCTAACTTTATGTAAGCTAATATCCTAAAAAAGGCCAGGCCTAGTCAGGACTTGAATGAGACACCTCCAGGATGTACCCTAGGGTCCTAGGCCACCATATGAGAATTCAGAATCTAAATCTGCAAACTAATTATGTTGCCAAGAAAATAAGTGGTTGTAACTAGGCTATCATCGGAAATAGAGCTTGATTTATAAGAAAGTTTATTTTGTGAATTAAAATAAAGTTCTGTGGCTGAACCCATAGAGTGAAAGGTTGGAGGTTTCAGGTTTGTCTTCCAGATAACCACTGTTCAAAAGCTGGAATTAAAGATTTAAGAAATCCAGAGAAGCTAGCAGGGATTTTTTTTCATAGTAATCTATTTATTCCTAAAGAATAGATAACAAATTTGAACTAAAAGCCTCTTCTTTCCTCTTTCCCTCCCCTTCCTCTCCCTCCCCCTTCCTCTTTTCTCAGATCTGTTTTGTCTATAAAAGATCAATGATTGTAAAACTTAGCAGAGCTTTAATTTTTCTTGCATGCTTTTCCCAAATGGAAATTCTCTTCAGATGCTGTTTGTGATCTCCACATTTCTCTATTTTTATCTTCACCTTTGATGTTTACTTCAAATTAGAAAGAAAGCATTTATAATCTTTTGCAGTGTGTGTAAACTTCATGAAAGCTTTGTACACCTTGTGATATTGATCTGTCTCCCAAAGGAGGAATGGAGGGGACTGATTTTCCTAGTCTCACATTTTACCCTACCAAATCACTGCTAATTTATGACATTTTTATCAGCTTTAAGCTCCTGCTAATTTAACCACACAGGTTCCCAAGCTCTGGGACCCCCATCTAACATGCTAGGGTTAAAGGTAGGACATCTGATAACAACATCCCGTGGCAGCAGTAATTTCAAATTGCTGCACCAAGTCAAGATGGCAGGACCAGAGTATATAGAACCAATTGGCTTCAACGATAGGAATGGAGAATTAAGATCATTACCCTACAGGCTCAACCCTCTAGCTAAATCTTATCTCTCTCTCATACACACAATCTCTGGTTCCCTATCTGGTGAAATCTAACAATAATAAGAAACACAATAAAACAATACAATGAACAAGAAAAACCAGATGCCTAACCCATCAATGTAAATTTATCCAGCTATTCCAAGTGCCTGGAGAAAAGTCAACCCCTAACAACTTTCCAAAAGTTTAAGGCTGGTGGTAGGGTCTCCTGATCTTAAAGAGAAGGGTGTTACATAATTACAATTCTCATCCACTTTCAGTATTTTCAACAAACTTAAAATTTCTTTTTGGTATTACTGATTTTTATCTTCGTATTTTTCTATTTATTCAATAAATAGTGAAGCAAACCATAGCTTACCTGTGGAATGAACATAACCATATCAATTTGTTTTAATTGCATATCTTTGTCACCATACTAAACTCATAATTCAGTGGGCTTTAACCTTGTTATAAGGTCACTTGACTAAATGCAAATGTTTAGACTTAATGATGTCGGTCTAGGAGGTATAGCAGCAATCTTTTAAGTCAGTTAAGACCAAAGGCCCTCATACCTTAATCCTCAGTCATTACATATTTACACTGGTTTTGTCCATTGCCCTTCAAATTGTTTTGTCCTCAAGTCATTTGCTGATCATCTTTATACAAATAAGCACACGATTGCTGATCATCTTTATACAAATAAGCACACAATATGTGTGTGTACATAAATCCATATGAAAATGTTTATTTCTGTACTGATCTGAAAAAGCTACACGTGTGGGTTTGTTTGTGCATGCACATTGTGCACGTATATATATTTAGCTCATTTGATGCTGTATGTATTTTGATATTTAGAATCAAGAATCATGGCTTTGGAGAGCAACATTTGACCTGTCGAAAGAATTCTGGCTATGCTACAAAGACGGCAACCAAGATAGCATTTGCCTTAATTTGTTTACCTACGTGAGGAACAGCATTATGCAGCTACAGACATGTGAGCTGGGCTATCTGGATTCTTGCACAAACAGATTAATAGCCCTAGGCAGCTTGGCATAATAGCACAAAGCTTCACTGGTGGAGAGGTTTTTGCTTCAGGCCCAACAGCAAAAAGTTGGCCTACGTGCTACCTAAATGAGGCACCTCGGTATCTTTCACTGTAAGATAAAAAACAGAGCAAGACAACTTTTAATAGCTAGTGTGATATAAAGCACCAAACGGGCTAAAGGGAGGAGATATAGCTTGGCATTCCTGCTTAGGCATGAATCTGGGTGGGTGAATCCACATCTCGTTCAACCTACCCTTTTCCTTTAAATGCAGTTTTAAAGTTTCCTGGTTAGGGAAATGTGAGCTTAAAATATAAATTTCTTTATAAACTTGAACTTGTTAGAAAATCAGTAGTTTACATAACCTTTTAAGCCATAACTTATTTATCTATAGTTTGAATCAACTAGTTTATTGGAGTTCTGCATCATAAATATTAAGCCAGCTTATAAACCACTATGGTATTGTATATTGATCACATAACACAGTAACCCAAACTAGCTTTATGATGGCTTGACATAATGTGCAGATTCAGTCAAGCAGTACTTGGGTGGGAGTTTACAAAGACTTTGGATTGGACAACCATTTGTCTGAAATGGTGTAATTGTCTCCTGTTTGAGCAGAGGGTTGGACAGGAGCAGGAGTGTCAAACTGGTGCCATCATGTCGTCATGTGACATATTGCGACCTTTTTTTCCCCTTCCACTAAACCAGGGGTGGGGCAACGTATGATGTATCTGGCCCTTGGGCCGTGAGTTTGACATCCCTGGAGTAGAAGACCTCCAAGGTCCCTTCCAACTCTGTTGTACTTCCAGTTATTTCCTTGTACATATTTTTGCTGCCTTTGCTCCCAAGACACTAGTTCAGTTGAAGACCCACACAAATCAGTAATTTAAAAATTGCAGAGTACTTATGTATGCCACAGTCAAAATTCACTTGGGTTTGCAGATTGCAACCAATAAAATGATTTAGGTAAGGAAGACTTTTTTGAGAACATGGGAGTAGAGTAAAATGCATTGGCTAAACAATAGCTGAACAAAATTGAATAATCAAATATGATCATCTTTTTTTAGCCCTATGAACACATTTAACTACTAAAGTGCATATGAATATCTAAGCATTTCCATAAAATTGGCATCCAAACTCTTCGCTGAAGTTTGTATTTATACATCTTTACTGTATATCTACATCTCCACGGTTTTATTAGACTTTTAATGCAGGTCCCCAACCCTCCAGTCCAAGGACCAGTACCAAGCCGTAGCATGCCAGAAACTGGGCCACACAAACAAGCAAAGCCCCATCCGTGGGATGCAGGCAGCATAAAAAAACACACCCTTTCTGGTCCACCAAAAAAACCTCTCAATAGAATCAGTCCTTGGTGCCCAAAAGGGGCCACTGTTTTAATGCATATACAAAGATTAGACACGGGATAGACAACTCAATTTATTATAAAATGCAGCAATTCATATAAAACATGGTATCAAACAAGCATTATAAAAATCAGCAATATTTTTTGGGGGGAACAATAAAAAGAAGTGCAAAGTTTTAAGCCTCTTGGCAACAGAAAAGTTAATTTTGCCATTGTGAGCAACAGTTTACTGTATTAACCACCACTTGTAGTCTCCTACATTTTGTCATGCATCCAGATACAAATCTCTTTTATT